GGAATATTCCTTGGCTCCTAAGAGCTCCACTCACCACTCACTGATCAATCTGTTTGCCAAGATTTGAGAACCAACCATTTAAATTGCAAAAATGTTCCATCTAATTATCGAATGAATACTAACGCAGTGGCAGAGTTGTAAATGCTCATTTGGTTTCTCTTTCATCCAACGGAATGACTTTTGATTTCTGGAGAAGGATTCGAAAACTGCATGGAGGGAACCCTTTTTAGAAAACAGAGCTGGACATGGAAGGATAAGGACAGACTGGACACTGTGTGATGCCACTGAGTGATGCCTGTTCCCAGCAGGACGAACCCTCATGTGTGTTTCAACCAATACAGATTCATCATTGAACTTAACAAAAATATCTTACTCAGCTGAATCAAACTGTTACTGGAGGGTGGCAAAATATCTATGAAAGAGTGGGTAGGGAAGAAAAGACTAATGTGATGGAAAGCAAGTTAGAAAGGCAGTTATTTGGCGAGAAAGGGCCCAGAGAGGGGAGCCTGGAGACACTGAGAAGCACTCACGCTACAGACTGAGAAGGAGGAAACGGGGTGGGGGCTCAAAGAGGTGCTTCAAATTGGACCTGATGCCAACTGGCACCCTGTTTGCAAAGCCTGGCTGCCGCCCAGAACTGCTCAAATGTGGATGCCAGCCTTTCTGCCCTGGTGCATCCCTTCCCAGTAACTTGGCACTGGGGAAGTCTTGCAACTCTCACATTTATAGACCTCAACAAAACACCATTATGTGATTGAACCCCTGCCTAAAATCAGATCTGAATATGCATTTTTAAAATGAAGCATGGCAGCTGTCATAAAATTCTCAGCATCTTTTTGATGCCATCCTCTAGTGGCTTTCTGCCCAGTCTCTCACAGTTGTTTTTTTCTTTTAAATGCTCTAAGCAAATGAGCTAATGTAATTCAAGTAAAATCTAGGAACTATAAGCAAGCTGAAAGGTATTTAAAGCAAAGGCTAGAATGCAGTTCATGCAGATGCTTCAGGCATAGCCCTCAGTAGGCTGAAGAGCAGAGCCTCCACCCCATGCAACTCTGCTGACGCCACCTCTCCCCAGGATGCTGCACAGCCTCGGGCTGGCGCTCCTGCCAAGTCCACAGCCCTCTCAGGAGGAGGAATAGTGACCAGCAACGCACCCGGGGCCTCTGACCAGCCTCCCAAGAGAAATGCTTCGCGTTTGCTCAGGGCCTCTGGCCTGTATTTTGTTTTTGTTTGTTTGGAACTCTGACCTTTATAAAAAGCTGAACTCACTGCCCAGAAAAACAGGAGGTTTACTCACCAGGAAGCCACGACAATGAAGCACAAAGAGTGGGTCAATATTTCTCCAGCAGCAAAGCTAAGTCTCAGACATTACTGTGAGGAACCCCATGGGGAACGCCCGTGCTGTTCCTCCCTCGAATGCATTCTTTCTGCGCCAGCAGCCCCTGACCCAGTGACTGTTCGTGATCAACACCACGGCATAATGTTCAGTAAGGAAGGTTCTTTCTGGCTCCTCAGGTTCCTCCCCTGCCTGAGACAGCTGAGGAATGCTGGCACTCAGTCCTGAAACTCTCTCTAGAAGGATCCATCCGTCACAGAGGTGGTGTGACATCAGGGATGGGGCTCAAGAAGGTGGTCCTCTCTAGTACCCCGGGTCTGCATCTTCAGCTGCAGGGTAGGGGTGGAAACAGATAATGAAGCAAGGGAAGAAATACAAATTGAAAAAGAGCTATGCCTGGCATAGTCATTTGAACCTGCCTAAAAACCCTGACTTTCATCTTTGTACTTGAATTCCTCTAAATATCATAAGGCCTCTTTGAAAAGAATCTCATTCTTTTCTATGGATAGACAAATAGTAGATACACAGATACACACACATATTTATATTTATACATATTCTAATATATATAACTATACAAATAATTTTTTAAAATTATTTTTTCTCTCCTCTATTTTTGAAGAGCAGAGACTGCCAGCTGGTTCTGACTGGTTGGATCCTGCTGGTGTCTAAAGCAATAGATGCACATTTGACCTACACAGAGTTCTAAGATTTTGTTTGTTTTCTTGAGTCAGGGTCTCACTCTGTTGCCCAGGCTGGAGTACAGTGGCATGAACTCGGCTCACTGCAACTTCCGCCTCCCAGGTTTAAGCAATTCTCATGCCTCAGCCTCTGGAGTAGCTGGGAGTACAAGCGCATGCCACCAAACCCAGCTAATTTTTGTATTTTTAGTAGAGATAGGGTTTCGACATGTTGGCCAGTCTTGAACTCCTGACCTCAAGTGATCTGCCTGCCTCAACCTCCCAAAGTACTGGGATTACAGGAGTGAGACACTGCACCTGGCCTGGTTCTAAGTTTTAACATTAGAACTCTGTCAACATTAAGATAAATCAGAATGTATCACATAAAAACCTGGATTTCTGTCTTCTCTTGAAGAAGGAAGATCCGGCAACACAGGCCTGGACTCGCGTGTGAGAAACATCAAGTCGGGCAGGGTAGCAGTAGCTGCCACCTGCAGACAGGGCTCAAGCTTACCAGCTTACCCCAGTCTCCACCACTCCCTACTGCCTCAATCCTGAGGCCTACTGTTCACTGCCATTTATCACCTGTGAATCATTTCACTCATTCATGCTCCCAAGGACATCTAACCAGAGCCCCTGCCATTTAGTATTTGCCACCAACATAGACTTTAACCAAACATCAGTTTAACAAAGTAATTTGAACAACTGCATGTTTTACATCCTTTGGGATTCATTCTCTCTGGATAAGACCTATATGTTTCTTTTGCAGGGTGCATGAAGGAGGTTTATTATCCTCCCAAGACCACTCTTCCCCACCCCCCAGATCTGTCTGTTTCTTAGAGAACAACAGAAGAAGGAGAACAGGAGCAATAGCATCCCTTTAGTGTCAACATTTCAGTAACAGTTCAGCACCTATACACATGTGTGCGTGTGCACGTGTATTGCTCTAGAGTGGGGAAATTCTGGGGAATTCTAATGAGTCTGAAGAAGAGAAAGATTCACAAAGGAATTAACCAGTCACACAGACTGAAAAGGCTACTCTACGAGTCCCTCCAACAGCCAAAATGAAGCGTGATGAGAGAAGCAGAAAAATATTAGAAGTTGTGACCTTAAAACATAAGGAAGGTGCTTAGAGAAAAGAACTGTTTACTAAAAGCTGAGATATCTGGTAAAGGAACAGGAGAAGGGAGAGAGAGGAGAAGAAAAGAGAAGTAAGGAGCAGAGGAGGAGAAGAAAAAAGACCAGGGAATCCGGGACAGAGGCAAACAAAAATACCAAGAGGAAGAAGAGAAGGAGGTGGCCTTTGCTGAACACTTGGAATATAGATAAAAAAGGATCACACACAAAGGCATATTTGTTTAAGCTGGTCTTTCAGAACAAAATTAGGAACCTTGTACTTTCTGTAGGGGGAAAAAAAAAGTCTCAGATGACAGCCTGATTACACACAAATGAGCTCCCAAGGAAAGGCCAAAATGACTTCCTCCTTTTCAGAAGAGCACAAGTCCTCCTTTGTAAGAACAATCCTGCCCCTCAGAGGCTGCTTCTCTCCCCAGTGATGTGCAAATCGATCTCTTATGCAAGAATCAACCATGCTTTCATTTCTGGGATATTTCCAGTTTCCATTTTCTAAGTGATAAGAGTCATAAAAAGTCAACAGCTTGCAAAGGAAAGGGAGTGAACAACATTTATGTTTTTAAATAAAGAAAAAGATCATTAACATTTAGATTACTTTTTTGCCTTTCGAAAATGTGACCACACTATCTCGGCTGTTCCTGAAGTCAGGCTTTCTACAGGAAAGGTGTTTCCAGGCATTTTGTTATCCTCACCTCGAATTTCTGCCTGAGTTCCATGTTTCCTTCTTCGTCCCCTTCTGGAATGGGTACATTGTAGTACTCACCTTCTTCTTGGTTAAGCAACTTGTACCTTTCAAAGACAGGAGAAAAAGAGTTACCACCGCAAGTTTAGCAAGCCTTCTCCTGAACCTCTAGTCAAGCTGTTTTGTGAAATGCATCCTATGGAGAGGCTACAGCTAGAGAAGTAGACATTTGACTTTTTTAAATTTTTATATTTTTGAGACAGGGTAGCTCTGTTGCCCAGGCTGGAGGGCAGTGGTGAATCACGACTCACAGCAGCCTCAACCTCCTGGGCTCAAGCGATCCTCAAGCCTCAGCCTCCTGAGTAGCTGGGACTACAGGTTATACCACCACGCCTGGCTAATTTTTGTATTTTTTGTAGAGATGGGGTTTCTCCATGTTGCCCAGGCTGGTCTCAAACTTCAGGGCTCAAGCAATCCACCTGCCTCGGCCTCTTGAAGTTCTGGGATTATAGGCATGAGGCACCATGTCCGGTCTCAACTGACATTTTAGAGACTGAAACCTAACTCTCTAAATGGTCTGATGCTTTGAGACATATTCAACCTCAGCGGCTTCCATACCATCCACTGGCTGGCATCTTCATTAGCTCCGAAACCCCAAAGGAAAGGGATCCCATGAAGTCATTCCTTGTTGTTCGATCCCAGTCCCAGATTTCTACAGACAGTCGTCGGTCTTTGTCTGAAGGTTTCAATTTGCTACAAGACACACACACATGCAAACACTAGGTTATTTTGATCATGGTTTCTTGGGAGATACCACCTGTACATGATTTGAGCCTGAGATAGAGAAATAGTATATTTGATTCTTTTCCTGGTCCAGTAAAATACCAACCCCTTATGCTGGCAACCAAAGCGCTACAGGAGGAGTTAACAAACTATGACCCATGGGCCAAATCTAGCCCACCGTCTATTTTTATAAATAAAGTTTTATTAGAACCCAGCCATGGCTATTTGTTTACATATTGCCTATGGCTGCTTTGGCACTAGAAAGTTGTACAGGTGCAACAGAGGCTATATGACCCACAAGGCCTAAAATACATACTATCTCATCCTTTACAGAGCAGAGCTTGCTGGTCCCTCTAGAATAGATAGCTACCTTTCTGGTTGTCCATAGAAAAACTGCTTCCTGTATACTAGTCTACAAAGGGGACCTCCTGCTTTTGCTCAGCTGCACTCAGTCTTCCTGACTTACTTTATTCCCTCCTTCCTTCTTCCCCTTCTACCATCTCTACCTCTGAAATCCTGGCAACCCTCCCAGGCTGGCTTTAAGTGTCACCTTTTCCAGGAAGTCTTCTCTCTTTGAAGGCAAGAATGATCTTGCCGTTTCAGTGGCAATAACACTTCCTATATTACTCACTCATTCTGTGGTCTAAAAATTATTTAAATTCTTGTCTTATGCCCTCTCCTAACTCTCAAAAGAACCTAAGTCCATCGAGAGGTGGACACACTGGATACATTTTTACATCATCTTTAATACCTTACACAGAATTGTTTATCCAGGTTAGATAATGATAATAATTTGAGGCCGGAATTATGCAACTCTTGGTAAATCAAATTACTATCTATCAAACAGGTGTTAATAGCTACCTCCCTAATGGCAGCCTGAGGAGGTCTTAGGACTGAAGACATGTTTAAAGACGTTTATAATGAACCTACTTCATTACCTCAAACAACGAGGTGGGCAACTGCATGGTGTATAGGAACGAGATTCGATCAAGGAGAGACCACTTACAATGTAAAGGACTCATTCCACTGGGGATTTAGTGTGGAGCGGATGGTTTTGGTTTTTTGTTTGCTTTCATTCTTGGGATCAGGAATAAGTTTCAGCTTCACATAAGGATCTGAAAGCCCGTTTGGATCCATAGGGATTAGATTTTTTGCATCTCGTACTGTGAAGAGAGAAGGAAGAAAACATTACAAAAAGAGAACGGACCTATATTGCCCAGCGTCCTGTGCCAATGCCAAGCTGAGTAAAAGAGAAGTCAGGATGGCGTTTAAGGAGAGAAATGGTGGGAAGCCAAACGCCTCTAACGCTCAACATGAGAAAAGCTACCCACTGCCACCACCGGCAGAGATAACAGGCATCGTGTGGGCCCTTGTGGGAGGGTCTTGGGACTCAGCACCAGCCTGGACTGGCAGCATCAGCAACACTCAGATATCTATTAGAAATGCAGAGACCCAGGTCCCACCCCAAACCTGCCGAAGCAGAATCCATTATTTAACAAGATTCCCAGGTGACCTCTGCAGCACCCCAGGAGTAATGGTGCACCCTCCCCACATGGAGGCAACCAGCCCGACCTGGTCCATGGTGCCGCACATGCACCTGACCTCCCAGAAGGTGTTATCCCTTTTTGTGGGTAAAGGCCAATGGCTTCCAACTCTGACTGTACATTGGAATCACAACAGAGTTGGGGAATGGGGGAGTTAAAAATTCTAATCCCCAGAATTAAACTAGAATCTCCAAGGAATGTGGCTCAAATATTCATTTTTAAAAGCTCCTTGGGTGATTCTACTGGGCAGCAGGGGCAAGCACCATTGCTGTATACAGTTGTAACTCAGAATTGCTGCCCGGTGCTGGTCCATGGACCAGCGACATCTACATCACCTGGGAGCTCATTAAACATGTAGAACCTTGGGTACCACCTCAGACTTAATAACTCAGAATCCTCACTTTAACAAGACCTCCAGGCACTTCCAATGCAATCCTAGCTTGAGAAACCTGATATGGGAATCAAAAATAATTAGAAGGAAAGGCCATTTCGTCCACAGAAGAAAACAGGCTCGGAGATTTAAGAGCTGGCAGAGGCTCACAACCGTGAGAAGCTGTCTAACGCCACTGCACACCAACGTAAAAGGTAATTATCTACTGCTATGATGAAGGGACAAAGGCCTGAGCCTCCTACCCCAAATGCCTTCCTCATTATCTTCCCATGGCATCTTTCCCAGTGAGGCTGAATTACCAGATATGCAACTGGTCAGACACCATCAACACACGTATAACTGGGACCAGGCTCCCTGGTCCAGTGGTTCCCACAGTGTGGTCCCTGGACCGGCGGCACTGGCATCATCTCCTGAATCAGAACTCTGGGGTGGGGTCCAGTGGTCTGTGTTTATCAAGCCTCCGGGTGATTCTGATGTCCATAAATGTTGCAGAACCACAGATCTAGGCAATTAGCATAGTTTATCAGCACAGTTTAATTATTAAGAATTACAAAAGAACTTTAGAAGAAGGCACTGGAGTTGTCAGTGGGCAGGGTTAGATGGGGAGGGGGCGGGGGGAGAATCCTAAAGATGTTGGGTCTTTGGACACAAATGAGGGAGGTACAGCCCTAAGATCAGAAGTCAGAGACAGGCATTGCCTTTACTAGTCTGTGGACCTACTGTGTGCCGCCTCCTGCCAGCCAACAGCCTTACATCCTCCTTACCTGGCAGCCTTACACAGGTGGGTAACAGATGGGACTATATTGAAATACAGAGGGGGAGGGGGCTGGCTCAGGCCTGCTAGCCACAGAGAAGCTGAACATATGTTTCTCGTACCCCATTTGTGCCTTCCAAGTATTTCTTCTCCTAAGAAAATATCTAACCTCATTCATCTCGGGGAGCAGATAGCACATAAATAAAACACACAGGCATGGTCCCTGTGGCTCAGCAGGTGTACGTGCGAACTCTGCCTCCTTCACCATGTAACCCTGAGCACTGGGAAGCTTTGTCTCTGAGCCTATGTTTCTTCATCTAGAAAAATGAAGAGGGGCATAATTCCAGTAGTATAGAATTGTTGAGAGAATCAAATAAAATAATGTTTATAAAACACCTTACATGGTTAGGGGCTTGGAAAATGAAAAAAAAAAAAAAAATCCACGATGTGATTGCTCACTACACCCCAGGCATGATAGACTCATTTCCACTCTTATCATGCTGAAATCTACAGGGCTGAAGGCCCCCAGGGCACTTGGTCACTGGATAATTCATCAAGCTCATGTGAAAGGCTTTAATCCAATGCAGAAGGTCTAGCCCACTAAAACATCAACCCTGAGTATCACCAAAGATGAGCACAAAAATGGAGCTCTCCCATGAGGAATGGAAAGAGGCCAGCGCTCTCTCTCTGATTAAACACCAGAATGAGAATCAGATGCTTTTTAAAAGGCAGAAAATGCCCTGGAATGTCTAACACTGGAGGCTGCAGAAGGTCACATCCTGGACAAGCCAAAGAAGACCCTTATCAAGGCCACCAAGAGGTCCTGCGTTGCCTCCTGCCAGTTGCAGAATTATTGCGGGTGCTGGCTTTTATATCTTCAATTTATATTCCTGACAGACAACACACACAAAAAATCATTCAAGTAGGATCTCTTCTGAATGGTGATGAGTTAAAATCTTGATGGGACTTAAAGCTGTGAGCTTCCTACTGAGATACTATCATTTAAGTTGCAAATAAAATAAGTTGAAAATAAAAAGTTATCAATTCCAAATGTCATTGAAGCAGACAGTGGGTCCAAATTTCAATTTCTTATCACAGCAGAGAACAGCCTGTGTGATGTGTGACTCATGGCATGCCAGGACACCTGAATCAGGATTATGAGCAACTAACTTGGGGTCCCATCTCAGAGTGTAGGATCTGGGGCAAGGCTGCCTGCGTTTGCATTCTGGCTCTGCCACTCTGTGGCTGTGGACAAGCTATTTTATCTCCCTAAGTTTCCTCATCTGGAAAATTATATCTCCTTCAAGTCAGGATTATGTAGGCTCATACATGTAAAGTGCTTAGAGCAGTGATAGGCACACGGTGAGAGCATAATAGCGATGATCATAATTGCTCTTAATATAAGTTACTGGTGGAGAACAAAATCGACTAGCCTTAGATGCGCAGAAACTGCACTGACAGCTTACGGAGTGGCAAGCAAATGCCAGGGAAAACAGTACAGTGTGGCAATGTTCTAACAGGGTTGCAACTGTATGGTTTCAAGAACGTCAGGCTAAGAGACAATGCTAGGGGGCATTACTCATAGGAGTAGTTGTAAGGAAGCTGGAAGAGGGGAAGCTAGCAAAGAGAACATAAGAGGAAAATTGAAGTGGGGAAGCAGATGAGAATAAGGGCTAGAGACAGAAGAGAGAAACAAGGGAAAGACGCGATCGAGAAGTGGAGTCAAATCCCAACACTTTGGGAGGCTGAGGTGGGTGGATCACATGCTGTTGGGAGTTTGAGACTGGTCTGGCCAACATGGTGAAACCCCGTTTCTACCAAAAATACAAAAAGGAGCCGGGTGTGCTGGTGGGCACCTGTGATCCCAGACAGGAGATTGAGGCATGAGAATCGCTTGAACCCAGGAGGCAGAGGCTGCAGTGAGCCGAGATCGTGCCACTGCACTCCAGCCTGGGCCACACAGTGAGACTCTATCCCCCCACCCGCCACAAAAAGATGTGGAGTCAGAGGGTGGGGACGTCGCCACAGGATAGGTGGGCAGACGTTCTCAACCTCAGCTATACCCTGGAAACACCTGGGATGTTTTAGTCAAACAGTGATCCCTGAGCCGCGCCCTCAGAGAGTCAGATCTACTTGGTCTGGGTTGAGGCCCAGGCATCAGGATGGTGAAGCTCCCCAGAGAAGCCTCAGGTGCAGCCAGCACTCTTCACTGCACTCAGCACTCGTTCTCCGAGTGTGCTCCCTGGCCTAACACACCGACATCATTTGAAGACTTCGACTATTATTCACATTTTTCTTTAAATTGGCTCCCTTTTTAATAGCCATCATTTAAAAAGGAAATGTATCACTACAGGAAACAGAAAACCAAGATTGTTTGTCATAAATGGAAGGTAACCAGAAAAGTAAACACAACGAAAATCGATGTTATTCATTTCTAGCTGGATCCAGTTGCCTGAGATCTTCAGTCTCTTAGCTACAAAGGGGAAATTAACAAGTGCTAGAGTTTTAAGGATATTCCAGCCCCAGAAATCTTTGCTGCTTCAACTGAGATGGACAGAAAATTGGGAATAACTAACTCATCATGTAATTTAAGGTTTTTTAACATCCGTATAGTACCTTCAGAAATCACCTTAAGTGCAACCAGAAGTCACACCCATCAGTGGCCCCATCCCACACTTGCGAAGCACAGTTGGAGGGAATGCCAATTCCGCAGTTATTAAGGAAGTGGAATATTCCACAGCCTAACAGCAGTACTGGGTCCAAGAAGAACAGACCTGGCACCGGTCCCACGGCTCACTTCTTGTCTTTCATTTTCTGCAAGAACCAACTTGTTTCGACCCACAGAATCAAGCTAAGGAAATACACACAAAAAAATCACACTACTTTGATACATACAATATTGAAAATGAGATTTTTTTTTTTTTTTTAAAGATCTATCATGCCAACTCAAGTTCCAAAAGATAGGTCTCTAAACCCAACAGTATAGAAACAACACACTTCCCTTGCTCATTCAGCTGCAGAAGCACTGACTGCTTCCCGAGGTCTACCCAAATGGCAGGGAACGCGGGAAGAATGGTTTTCTATCACAGCTCATTAGCAGTTCTGCAGCCTTTATGAGGAGGAGACATCTGCTGAGGAAATACATCTGTGCCACGGTACTGGCCATTTCAGAATAGAAAGTCTGTTCTGTAATTCCAGAACTTTAATAGAAATATAGAATACTAATTATATTCCCATATTTTTGGCTTCAGATGGCTGCTCTGAAATTATCAGCTGTCAAGCCTGGCACTGTGAAAAAAACAGCCTGGGTTAGAGGTTATATAATTTCCTGATCATGGAACCTATCATTTCTGGATAAAGCTCATTCAAATGAGATGATGAAGACTGAGAACCACCTACCCAGTGATCCCTGATGCAGGTGGCTCGGCAGCCCAGGACATGAGAGTTGCAGAGTTTTAAGTCAATGTTGAGGAA